AGGCCCCTTTTGTGGTTTTATAAATAACAAAATTTGCTTCTTCTGGAAATGGTCCTTTACTAAACTCTGTATCAATATATTGAGATGTTAAAGCTGTTGGCATCAGACCAATTAGTAATAAGTTTCTAACATTATAATTTTGAAATTTTGCTTTTAATTCTTTCTAATTAAGTTTATCACAAGAAGCAGCATTCTATAAATTATACTGTAAGATTCCTTTTGGAATAGGTGAACATTTATATTCTTTATATGAATCATATTTCTTTGCCAGTTCACATGATTCTTCTAATGCTGCATAATAAATATATGCAAAGATTTGTTTGTTAAGTTATATACTTCACTGTCTTCTCATGATAATTGAAATTTTTTGTAAAGAATTGCTAGGCCAATCACTTCAATAGTAATTGGCTAGTTATTCTTGTTTATAACTTCACATTTATCTTGTAAATAATATATAAGATTGATTGCTCTATCACAAAAGTTTACAAGAAAACAAACTGAATCTTGTAATTCTAGAAAATCAAATTTATTTCTTTTAAAATATGTGTTGAGAGAATTACTGCATGTAGATTATAAACAAAAACTTCATTTGTATATTTAATGATCTCAGTATATAGATTGGTGGTTGTTGCTGTTTCAAAATTTTTTTAATTAGATTTCTTGTTTGCATTATTAATAAAAAAGATAAAGGGTTTTTCTGTTGTGCATTGCATCTTGATAATTTCAAAAAGTAATTCTTGTATTTTGAAAGTTATTGTATTTTAAAGATTAGTTTTACATGCAATGTATGCAGTCTTAAACTCATTACTATACATTTCATTTATTTTTTTATCTAAAAAGACTTCAGCATCTTTAGATAAAAAGGTGGTCTAAACATCATATTTGAGTATATATTTCATAAATAAGTCTGAAATTGAAACACAATAATGCAGATCTGCTAAACGTAATTCTTGTACAATTAATTCATGATGAATATACAAAAAGTCCATTATATCTTAATGCCAGATTGCAAGTGTTATTATTAATGCATTTTTATATTTATTACCACCTTTGTTTACATAGTTCATAATGGCATTAAAAACACAAAGCATCTTGTTTAGACCTGTTAAGTATCTATTAGTTCCTTTGATATAATTACCTTTTGAGTAAATATTTGTATATCAATACTAATTCTACTACTATTCTTAGATATTATAGAAACTTTCTTTAAGTTCTTATAAATTCTTTCAATAAAATCATCTTTAATCTAAGTTAGAAAACAGCTGACAAGTTGGTTCTTTGCTATGCATGAACTTGTATGAATAGGTGTTGGCATACTTATTTTATTCATTAATATCTTTTTATAACATTTTTTGAGTAAATTAAAATCATTATAATAGAATTGTAATGCACATCTCATATGCATATACTGAACACAATCAACTTCTTTTTTTTCTACTTTCAAGAAAAACTTTATTTAAAAAAAATAAAACTCTTTCCTGTAGATCCCAAAACAATAAGTAAACAAAAAAAAATCGCAAAAACCTAACTAACTAAAGAACAGGATAATAATACTAACTGCAGGCCAACCTGTAACCTTCTATATACTAACCTAAAACAAACTAAGATACACCATTACAGAAAACAAGAAGAAATGCAAACCCAACACCGAAAACAAAGAAAATATTCCAAGGCCTTTAGGGCCTATAGCTGACTTTACTTTTACAGCAATACAAATGCTTAACATGCAGAAAAGTCATAAATATCCTATCAGACAACAGAAACAACCTCAACACAACCAAGCTCTTTATAATCAACCTAGCAAAAATGACAAAGATACTACAAACAAGCATCAAAAGACCTTGATATCATCATTGAAACAAAACAACAATATTGGAAAAAGTGGCTTACTCCTATCTAACAGCCACGTGACTGCATGCACAATCAACTACAATAACAAAACAACAATAGTGAGGAAAGTAGCTTACCTCTATCTAACAGCCATGTGACTGCATGCACAATCAACTACAATAACAACACAACAAAACAAACAGGTTTAACTAATGATAAAACCAGTTTTATAGGCAACAACAACAACAACTACATAACAATCACACAAAACAACAACTCTCACATTACTATAAGTGATACATAAACACAAGCACATAGTCCCAATATAGAAATGAAATCACACATGCAGCACAGCACACCTTAGAACCAATTGACACCAACCACCAAACTGAGCCCTCCTAAACAGAAATGCATCCTGACCAAAACATGGAAACCAAGTCTGTTAATACAATACTAAGTACTGGAAACTCAATAGAGAATAATACACAAATTAGACATACATACAGCCAAGCAGTTAAAGGTGAAACAACTGCAGACACAGACCCAGAAAGTGATACAGACTATATGCAAATGTGGAAAGAACAACTAAACCAAAACATAGATAAAAAAATATCAGACCTCTTTGATATAACACTCTGAAATTACCAACTTATAATAGAAGCTTTTCAATTAAAAGAAAAACTACAAGAACTTATTACATATAAATTTAAGACCAAATCTGCACAACAAATACTACCATATGCAATTGAATCTAAATTTAGACATACTGATCACACCTTCTTTACTATTTTCACAAGAGCTAAACACTTCATGCCTCAACACTAAATAAAGTACAAAATCTGTTCACAAATATAATACAAAAATACAAAACTGAAAACAAAATAACCATCACTGACAAACTAACAAGAAACAAAATACATCTCAAACTCCATTAAAAACTGTACATCGATCACATCGCCAATACGAACTTCAGCACATGTTCACAAAAACATATATACCAACTACTAACATATTATAAAGGCTTTACAAGAGATAAAAAAGCAATAGACAAAGAAGACATATAAGAGGCAATTGCAGAGTCAACAAAAAGCAAACTACAAAAACTTCCTGACACATCAATAAGAATCTCAGATAAGATAAAAGCCATCCTATTATTCGAACTTCCGATAAAACTCAAGTTACAAACAAAAGCCATAGTTACAGCATTACACAGAATTTTTGAATTTGAAAAGCTACTACCTACTTACTTTATCGAACTTTTACTATTACTACAAGATGTAAATGATCTAGATTATAAAATTAAATACCTTTTTCTAATAACAGAAAGAAGAGAACTAGGAAGACTCACATATTATAGAAAATGTCTACAAGAAGTTTATAGCTTTGACAAAATTCCAGATCACTTCTTTAACTTATCTTCACCAATGCCAGAAAAACCAGCATTCCCATCTGCATATCAAGATATAGAAGACCCTCAACTAAGAGCATGCTTTCCAATTGACAGAGCTAATCAGGATACAAATATGCAAGATATCATTATAAGACTTAGAAAATACTATACTTTTCAAAATATCCCAAATGACTACTTCTTAGTAAAACCTAGCTGTCAAAAGATCTAAGTAGAATCAAAACTCAGAACATATATACATACCCAATTACTAACAATACAGAAGCAGTGACCTTCATACATGAAGTCAAAAGAATATACAAAATTACTTTACCCATTTTAGAAGTGATCATAACTGCCAATCTTACAAACAAGCCCAGATTATCTACTAACCCTGCAATGATTACAGAAGTCAATCTTACTATTCCAATAAATATACCAAAAAGAATAACAGAAACTGCATGCCTTCTTAGACCCTACTACTATTTCCAAAAGCTGCCTACACAATGGATACAAATATCAGAAACAAACAAAGAAACAATAGATGAAACAGGCATAAACAAAAAAGCAAAGCCACAGATACCTGACACTATTGAACAAATACAAGAAGACCTCAAAAATCGAAAAATTAATACAACTAACATTACACTACCAATAACAAGCCAAGATACTGCAACCTTAATATTAGCAAACTTAGACAACACTATACAGTTACAGCAATATCTAAACACATTCTAAAACTACCACCACTCCCTGAACCAGAATGGAAAATATTTTGCCCTTACTCAAATTAAATGCAGTACAACAAAAATAAAAAAAAGATACCACCACCTACTAACATAATAACTCCAAATTCACTAGAAAATACTTATCACAAACCCTTAAGCCCACTCCCCCCACAAATTAGCAATGACCTAACAATAGTAACTCATAATGTACAAGGTCTAAATGACAGACTTAAACTACAATTATAGCTTGAACATTGCCAACAACACCAATATCATATTATAAGTACAACAGAAACAAAATTAGCCAACCAATTGGTAGGGAACCTTTGGGCAGACTCCTTAAATAGGTAATATAGAAAAGTTATACGTGTAGCCAATTGTATGCTCTCCTGTAGTGGTTTATTGAACCACAATACCGATAAGTGATTAATAAAAGTCAAAAGACCAAAGAGGTCACCTTAATACCAAAAAAAAAAAAAAAAAAATTAGCCAACTCAAGCTAAACAAAACTATTTACAAGCAATCCTTATTACTATGTGTACATCTCAAACTGCAATGCTCAATGAGCAGTCAAAAGAGAAACAAGCCTTGGCACTACAATTGCAATTACCAAACCACTAAGACCTTACATTTATAACATCATAACAGAACCAGGAACAGCTATTGCAATAGACTTCTTCTTTCCAAACAAAAACAAAATTTGAATAATCTCCATTTACCTATCAGCTACAAACCATTCTCTTAATAGGATCACATAGCAAACAATAACACAAGGGGTAAACCAGGCAACAGCTAATGGCTATTATACAATTGTTCTTGAAGACTTCAACATTGACAAAAAACTCAAAAAGAAAATAGCTTTATTTTTCAATACTTTAAAACTACATGGATTACTTAGCACACTTGACTACTTTAATATTACAGACCCTACCTGGAGCTGATAAGAAATGAACAGCCAAATAGATGACATCTGGGTCTCAACACAACTCATACATAATATAACACTCCCTCAAATAATTCCTTTGAATGAAATAACAGACAGTGATCACTAGATAATGCAACTGCAATGGGCATACAATCCTCAAATAAAAAACAACAAACGAAAACAAAGGAAAAAAGAAATCTTTAAATATGATCAAATGTCATCAGATCTGTGGACAGAATTCTCAAGCTCAATCACAACCAATCTAAAAGAAAATACAACTGCACAAGAAATAAAAGATGCTAGTATACTAAACAAACAATAACATGAACTCAACCAAGCAATTATCATAGCAGCTAAAAAGAATATACTCAGAATCAAAATTCAGCCTCAAACATTCTATATCTTTTCTACCAAAGCTACTAAACTCTATGTGGCCCTTAAGCTCATCAACAAACTAATAAGACAAATACAAGCAAACACATAAACCTTCAATGACATCTTAATACAAACATGTAATGAGGATATAGACTATATTAACATCAAAACAGAAATACAAATCAACCACATTATATCAGAGGACCTGATATCTACTAACAAGGAGGCACTAATCACATAGCTAAAAGTTCAGCAAAAGACAATATACCAAGCCAGAAAACTAGAAAACAACCTTGCCCACCAAAGTACAATCAATAAATATATTAGCAAAAGATATAACAACTTTAATAACAACACTACTCATATAATTAATAGCATACTAAAAAGACATACTGATTCAGTCCTACTTCACAATATATGCAAAGCGATGAAGTTATTACAGAACCAGAACTAATACAAAAAGAAGTACAAATGCATTATAAAAACTGGACAAAGCCTAATTCTCCAGACTGGAACCACTGGAAGGAGTGGGAAGAAGAATACAAACCTATAAACAACATCCAAGACTGCTAGTACATGAATATCTCTAATCCAATTATCCTGAAAGAGCTAGAGGAGACCATTAAGAAATCACCAACTAGTAAAGCAACAGGACCACATGACATATCAAACAAGATGCTAAAACACTTGAATAGTACAGGCCTGACACAACTTTGCACAATATTAAATGCATGCCTAACACTAAACATGATCCCAAAGACATGGAAGCATAGCAACATTTACCCCATCTCTAAAAAACCCAAATTTACAGGACAATTAAATAATATACAACCTATAATTCTTATAGAGCATACTCGAAAATTCTAACAAAAATAATTACTAACAGATTTAACAATATCCTTACTAGATACCTGATACTCAACAATAGCAACCATGTAGCTCTACCAAACACTTCTACAGCTATACCAATATCTACATTAACACATATTATAGAAAGTGCAAATGCTTCTAAACAGGAACTATAGCTACTATCACAGGACATGTCAAAAGCCTACGACTTCATTCATATCCTACTATTATGCAAAGCCCTACAGAGAATAAAAATACCAAAGAACATAATTGATCTAATAAGCAATATCTTCACAGACTGTATAAACTCAGTAATTACAAACCATGACAATGCATCAAAATATCCAGTTCACGATGGAATAGACCAAGGAGAGATGATTACCCCTCTGCTATGGCATATATACTATGACCCTTTGCTAACCAAGATCGCTAAAAAACACAAAGGATATGAAATGAAGACAACTATATCTACTCTGAACAACAATGACACTATCTACAAAATTAACTATCTAGTACTAACATACATGGATGATATGATCTAAATTGCAACATCAAAAGAATAACTATCTGAAATCATAACTACTGCAACTATATTCTACAATCTAACCAATATTCAAGTTAACCTAACAAAATCAGTTCTAGCAACAAACATAAGCAAAACAACACCTAGCATAATATTTAACAATACATTAATTACTAGTATCTCAACAAAAGAAGCATTTAGATTTCTGAGATGCTGGTTCACAATGGGAAGAAAACATATGCCTATATATCAAATCATAACAAAAGAAGCAATTGACACAATTAAAAAACTCAAATATGCAAAAATCACTGAAAAACAAGCCATCTATATAATCAATTTAGTAATACTTACTAGA